GAGAGTTGTGTCTCGGTCATGTTTACTTTTCATGTGAATACTCTGGCATAGCACATGGCCAAGCTTTAGTTCACCACCTCATAAAACGTGGGGTGGTGAACCAACAGGTGGTAAACCTCTTGTCATATGTCTGTGATGGGTCAAACAGTCATCTTCCCAAATAAATCATCCCATGGGGCTTAATCTCTTCAACTGTTTGTTTGAATCTGTCCTATTTCCATTTGAGCATGTTTGGGAAAAGTGCGCCCTTTCGTCTTTCGTTATTTTTGCTTCAACTCATTGGTCTACTCTTGTTCTTCCTTCAGAATTGCACGTCTGATATGTCTGCGGGATATGCTCTCATTCTTAGCAATAAACATTTAAATACAATTAGATTGTATAATGATTGTTGCTGTCTTGGTCTTAAACTGGTGCTTCCCTCAGCAAATCTCTTATGTGTGGACAATGTTACCTTCTAAACAGCTTAGTTCAACAAGGTTTCTTAGATGCAGGTGAATGGGTGATTAAAGATATGTGTATGCATATATATGATGTCCACATTTTATGTATTTGCAGGAAACACTAACACTTCCTATAGCTGTCATAATGTGTGGTGCTCCCCTGAGGAACCAGATCTATTGTGTGAAACATTTAGGAGTTAGAAAAGAGTTCCATGAGGCTAATAATTCCATTTCATTATATAAACAACTGAAAAATATTTCGTATTAGTTTCCTTCTTCCTTCTGTTTTTTGGCTTGTTATCTTCCCAAGGGCCTACAGTTGAGCTGATTGATAACCGTTAGTCAAATCCAGTAACTGTATCTGTCTGTGGTTGGAGAGGGGTGTTGAAGTGGATGCCAGGCTTATTCAGTTGTGGTTTTTTTCTTCAAGCTCCCAATCATGCCAGGCTTTGTCACAATAGTAGATATGATGGGCAAAGGAAACCGTTGATAAACCATAAAAACCAAAAACTGTTACTTGCCCTAACAAAAGCGAAGAGGGGAGGGGGAACGCCAGCTTGGCAGACAGGGTGTGTTTTTTTGAGAGAGAGAGAGAGAAATATTTTAAACAAATGCAAAGCAGTGACAGAATTCAGTTGTGTTGCTAAGCACAAAGGCAGCATTTGCTAGAAATGATGCAGCATCAAACCTTTTGTGAGAGCAGGAGAGCTGAAATAAATAAATAAATAAATAAATAAATAAATAAACAAATGTGTTTGCGAGAAGTGGGGAGCAAAGGGGGTTTATTCATTTGTTTTGTTTTTGGTCTTGTTCTTTTTATGTATTTTGTTAATTTTAGCTTGTATTTTTATGTTGTGAACTACCCTGAAATCTGTGGATGAAGGGCAGTATACAAATTTAATGAACAAACGAACAAACAAAATCCTCAACTGATAGCCTTGATCTTTGTAAATAAGATTTTTGTTTTCAAAGCTCCAATTGGTTGTTTGTTAAGTATAGATTTAAGGCAATCCGCTAGGAAGTTACTCTGCACAAATTCTATTGGAATGAATGGCAGCTTCATGGGAGAATGGCCGTTTCACCCATTGAGTTCAGTTCCTTTATATGTGGCTGCAATCTTATACCCACTTACCTGGTAGTGTGTCCCAAGGAATTCAGTGGAACTTACATTTGAGTAAATGTGTGTAGGATTGCACTGTTAGATTCTATTAAAATCTTTTGAGAAAGCCTACCTTTCTGAAGAGATAAATTTGTTGTGTACATTAAGAGCTGTTGTTTTGTTGAAGGAAGTTATATTGAAAATAACAAATGAAAATAAGTCTGCAGTCTTAACTACACTTGCTTAGAATCTGCAAACTTCACTAAAATCAATGAATGTGCTTAGGTTTGGAGTGAAATCTAATCTACTTAAAAAGATAAAGCTTTGTATATTTTGACACTTTGTATGTCATGCTGACATCTGAGACTGTTTGAAGATGAAATCTAAAAGGTCAGAGACCCAGCTCTTAGGGAAATAATTTCGTCCATCATATCTATATCTATATAGATCTATATCTATATGCTAGTTTGAGCTGATTAAGAAACATCTTACTTTATCCTGTATAGTAATGAAAATGTATATATGGTTCTCCAGTTTACAAGAAGCTGCCAACAAAATAGTTTCAAATTCCAGACAGGAGTGCAGAATATTCTTCCCACTTTGGGATCATTTAATTCAAACTGAAGATATTTCAAAATGCACCTTTGTGTTTAGTTTTTCTAAACAAAAAAAGTAGTTTACATAGGTTAAAAGAGGCAATTTTATATTTATAGGTATAAATCTATCTACTAGTTGCCCCCCCTTTATCAGATTTGTCTTAGCAACTCCCTCTGTGCTCATCAAGGCTTTTTGTTTTATTCATTTTAAAATTATTTTAAAGCATAAGGTTAATAGACATTCAGGCAAGTGGAAAATCAAATAGATATCTGAAAAAAGATAGGACAGCGGGACATTGACAGCCGAGGCAAAAACATAACACAACTCTGAAATATTTTGCCATCTTGTACCAAGTAATTACAATCCTGAGCCAGATTTGCTCAAAGGGAATGAGAGGGAGCACAGTGTGGGATCTGATGCTGTTTAGACATTTAAAGAATTATATATTTTTTCCAGTTCATAAGCACATCACAGCTCCTTTGATACTGGCTACCTCTGTAGACGCCACATCGTTTCAGCCAGAGGGACTGTGAGAACATTTTATAGCCTGTAGATCAGTGTTATTGCAGACCCTTTTGTGGAATCTAGGAGTAACTCACAATATTCCAAAGCAGCTGGGGGCAGGTGGTCGGGAAAAGAGGACAGAAATGGAATGTTTCAGAAGAGTGATATAGGAAGCTCCCTTTTACTGAGTCAAACTATTGATCCATCTATCACAGTACGTATTGTCTACACTTACTGGCAGTGTTTCTCCAGGAACTCGGGCATGGAGACTGTTCCAAGCCTACCTGGAAATGCCACTTATTTACATGTGCTCTGCTACTGAGCTATAACCTTTCCCCATAGGGCATATGTTTTGTTTTCTGCTGATCCATAGTTCATGACTAGATATGTGGACTTAAGTTCATCATTCTATGGGCTTAAGCTACTAGCCATGATAGCTGTGTTCTGCCTCTGAATGCCGGTGGCTGGCAATCGCAAGTTGGGAGCGTGCTGTTGCACTCACGTCCTGCTTCTGGGCTTCCCGTAGACATTGGGTTGGACACTATGAGAGCAGGACTAGATGGGCCATTGGCCTAATCCAGAGGACTCATTTAACCTTCTTAGAGGGTAGATTGGTTGAACCTTAGGAGAAATTTATTGATGGCAAGAGCAGTTCAAGAATGGAACCAATTACATTGAGGGGTGTTGGGCTCACCTTCACTCAAGGTCCTCATAGAGAGGCTGGACACATTGGGGATTCTCGGGTTCAGAATTTCTTTCATTGACCAATTATCTTACCATGGTGTGCTTGAGCTCCATGATAATAGACTATTATCCAGACATAGTTGTCTGGAGCAGTTTTTTCCCTTTTCCATGACAGCAAGCTGGTCATCATGACCAGGTCAGAATGTATGTTAATACTCAGTGACGAGCTATTCTTATCTTGCTGTGCGTCTCACAAATAAAACTGCCTATATATTGAGATCATCCTTATGCATTAATTTCAGAGTGCCTGACACATTAGTTAACACTCATAACAATGCCTTGTGCTCAGGCTTAAAAGAAAAGCAACAGCCAGCAGATCGAAGGCATATGGAAAAGAGAATGGGAAGGATGAAGTTGCATCTTGAAAACAGGTGGCTCCTATTTAGCCCTTAGATGAAAATCACTTGGCTTTTCAAATACATATAGAGGCATGTAAATAACTTAACATTCTTTCCCCCCTTTAACTCATTATTTCTTGAGGCACTTCAGGTATATCTAAGGAGTATTTTTAAAAGCACGTACAGGCGGCAGTGACCATTTTGCGTGGGGGTTCCATTCCTACCTGCCCCCCCCATCAATGGAGCATGCATAAGCCTGCCCTGTTCTGCCCCCTTCTGGGTCCCACAGGATGTGTGCAAAATTGTCACTGCCTGTATGCATGTTTCAATATAAGACAATAACAAAGTACTTCATAATTTTGATGTGAAATCAGACTCCATGTAATTTTTTCAAACAAACTGATTTAGTTAAATCAGAGCAGCCAAACTGGATGAACTCAACACATTTGCCTAGTCCTTCCTGCTGAATACTGTATATTGTATTGTTTTGAGCTCAAATCACTATGGTATATACTATGTACAAAATATCAATTTTCTGTCTGCTGTCACGAGAGCTCTTAATTTCTTCTGCACGTGTTTAGCAAGCTTTGATAAGGCAAAGCAGCTGCTCCAAATTATATATTTTACCTCATCTTGCTTTCATGGCTTTTATGCCAAAACCCAGACAGCTGGTATAAAAGTTGAAATTTCACCTTGTGCTGCATAATAGCATGGTATTTAGTGTTGTAACGGTTTCCGATGCTTTTATTGTTTTGAAAGTCTAACCTTCTTCTGAAGCCCTTTGCTAATCGCCCATGTTCCATTAGATATAATTTCAAACGTTTGCTTTATCTGGTTTTTAACTATAAGTGCAGGCCACACTGTGAGCCATTAATTATCGCTTGATATAAGCCACAGAGGTGGTACCAAGTATACCTTGATCAACAAGCTGGGCAAATTAAAAATGTACATCAGTGGAAAACCGAATCCGGCATTCACACTGTTACTCAAGCTATGCCCGTTTAAATTAGGTTACATTGTTTTTGTTTCGTGGCAAAATTCATATATTTTTAAAAGGAAGTGGTAGAGAATAAGGAAAGATCAATGCTGTTGATGGAGGATGCTACCCCATCACCAGCATACAATTAAGATTCTGTTGCTAGACCAGTTGGATTCTGTGTGTTTCTGGCAGCAAAAGGGCATTCTCAGCCCCCTAATAAAAAGTACAGTAGACAAACCCAAGAGACCATTTTGGTTTTTTAAAGGGTTACATGGACAACATCTGCCTTTAAAGGTGAAGGACCATAGCTCAGTTGTAGAGCATCTGCTTTTCATGCTGAAGGTCCCAGGTTCAATCCCAGGCATCTCTGAGTAGGTCTGGGAATGCCCTGGGGAGTTTGAAACCTTTCCCCAAAGATTCTGTGTTGCATTGTCCCAGCATGCGTGGCTTAATCCATGATTCATTGCTGCTTATAAAGCATTTAGCACAGTTTTTAATTCTATTTTTCAAACACCGGTGTTTTAGTGATAGAAACAGAAGATGGTGTTAATTGTTCTTCTACAAGGTACTTGTAACATTTGAGGTAACCAATAAGTTGACTGCTTTTGTTTCTTTTTTTTCTATTTGCTTTTTGCTCTGGTGTTAGAAAGGCCTCAAGTAGGTAAGAGTTAACTTCCTTCATGCTTTCATTCATGTGTGCAAAGGCTTTCAGCTGATACAAGTAGGAGTATGTTTGGTTAAGCAAAGTTTATTCCATGAGAAACTGACCTACTGGCATTAAACATTTGCTGTTCAAAGGTTTCCCATCATAGCAGTCTGATTAGAAATATTTTCAGTTGGTGAGGCCCAAAGCAAATATGTCTCAAACTTGGAAGGTAGAACTAGGTGTTTTTAAATAAAAAACATTCTAGTATGTTAGAAAGGAATGGTCTTAATATACAACTGGTGGGACTATACATCACTCTGACAGCCTCCTATTCAACTGCCCCTCCATAGTAAATTGGCACCCCCTCTTTTGCTGTTACAAGTATGTTTTGATCAGTGAACTGATCAGTGGTTAAAGACTTAAATTTATGAAATGGTCATTCCAGATCCCTTTCCACAAATGACCATTCAGATAAACTGAATGCTGTCCCATTGCCAGTTTTGAAAGAACATTGGCCTTTGCGCATGGAACGGGAGGCACCTTCATGCCCTTTGCATTATGTAGCAAAATGTCTTGGACTGGCCCTGTTTTCAAAAGAAGCAGTTCACATGCTTATCTGAGAATCATTGGGTGATGTACAGCACATTTTCCAAGTGAAAGAAGAAAACATCTGTCATCGTATTCACTTAATGCTGATGTTAAGTGGTCCTTACCCATGATCAGATTGCAAGTGAAATAGGAGAACCCAAAAATAAGATAGTAGTTTCTTGGGCTAACACAAGTTATAGTCCACAACATCTGGTGAGTAGCCACACTGGCTAAAATATTGAATTAGAATGGATGTCATACTTTGATCATCTGTAGAATTTTACATTACGTTTCATTTCTGAATTGTTTCTGTTTTAATTGTGCTTCTTTTTCCTCTAACCATCCAAAAGGAACCTCTAATGTTGTTGTTGTTGTTGTTGTTGTTGTTGTTGTTGTTGTTTCCAGCTAATTCTTAGAATTCTGGACTTCTCTGCCCAGCCAGAGTTTGTGGAGTGTCAGCTGGTAAAAGAAGCGCTACATAGTAAAGTGAAGTTCTTCTTTGTGAAAAGTTCCAAACCTTTAAAATTTTGCTCATCTCTGTAAGACCAAAAGAACAAACAGTCCTAACTAATGTAGGGATTAACACAGTTTGGCACAAACTGCTCATCAAGACTCTTAGTTGCTTTGCTACGACCGAGTAGCACAGTTAAGCACTCTGTGACTGGGATGGGGGACCTGCGGTCTTCCACATGTTGTTGGAGTCCAGCCGGTAGGGCCCGTGGTCACGGATGATGGGAGCTGGGGTTCAACAACATCCAGAGAACCACATGTTCCCCATCCCTTCCAAATGAGGTCGTAACGCCGAAGAGTCATTGCATACTTGTAAGGGAACCACAGGTGCAGCTAGAGCCTTCTTTTCCGTATTACCTGGTGAAAAGGCAAACAAGATTTGAAAACCGAATCACAGTTTTTTGCATCGGCCTCTAGGAGCTGCACCAGTAAAACTACAAAGCAAGTTTCAGCTTTACAAGATTCCTTATCGCGCATGTAAATAGCTCATTTGGATAATGGCCAAGGTGTGTAATCTCACTCTTTGATTTTTTTAAAAAAAAGTTTTTCCCCCTTAGAAGGGAAGCGGAATCTAAGCAGACTTGACTATAATCTTCATGGATTCCTTATCTTGTTTCAAGGTTCATTACCTACTGAAAGGGTTGACATAAAAATACAGTGTCTGTATTCTTTGTCACCTCCCAGCTTCCCACACTGATCTCTCTAGAACAAATGGCAGAATGAGAGCTAAGAACCCCAATGTTTCCTTATAAAATGGATGCCCGGTAAAGCCGTCGTTTGATTGCTGCATTAGCTTCTCCACTTACCAGTCAGCATGCAGTGAGGTTTGTACATTTTCTAGCACACCACAGTATAAATTGAACTAAGAACAAGCCAAACAAAACACTGGAGTGACCCAGTGAGACGGATTTGATTCACATCTGACCATGTGAATCAACCTTTCTGTCTGTCTGTCTGTCTCTATTTTTTTTATAAGCCACTTTTTTCAACAGCTCAGAGTGCTCAAGAAAGAATACAAACTATATGCATGAGAACAGTATAAATCAAAGAGCAAAACTAAAATTAAATAGAACACAGCTGAGCCAGAATAGCCACTAAGAATCACAGTCAGTCACTTGTCTGTTGACATAAAAATGTATTGCACCCTTTCCAAAATCTTCCAAAAAACAGGCTTTCTTACCTCAGTGCATTCCACGGTCTGACACTCCACATAGAAAAAGCCTTTCCCCTAGCTACAGTTGTAATGATCAGACAGTGCTCAGGGCTACCACCCCCATCTTAATAGATGTATAGCCTCATATGGAGCATGTGTGGCAAGACAGTCCTTTGAGTATGTGGGTCTCATGAAGAGGTTTAATCTTGAAACCAGAGCCTTTGCAGATCTGCAGCTTTTTGTGTAGTAAAATTAGGTCCAGATGTCCAGATGTAACTAGGGGCTCATCCACACCCACAATTGCCCCACCACTTTCCCCGGAGTAAACCTGTGGTTTAGTGCTGAATCGAAACAAATGGAAATTGAGTTTTCAGCAGATTGCTGTTGGTTCTGATTTAGCGCTAAAGAGCAGGTTTCTTGGGGGAAAGCAGTGGGGGAAGGGAAAAACCACTTGGAACCATGCCTAGAAAGCACGGGACAAGTGGTTCTAGGCACAGGACAAGCAGAAGCATGGACGAGTCCTAACATAGTACCCTCCAGAGGCTATGGAACTCCACCTCTCATCAGCTCCAGGCAGCATGGTTCATCCCTGATTTGGAATGTATCTTCCAACCACCTCCCATTATTAAATGGCTCCAATATCTGTTTTTTTATGGAAATAACTCAGTAATAACTCCGCTTTGTGCCCCAGTGAGTCTTGTATTTCTTGAGCTTGAAGCCATTCTGTAGACCTCTCTTGAAACTCACAGGGAAGGATCAAGAATCCCACTGGATACTTCCAAGCTTTTTTACATATGGCTGAGGTAGCTTTCTGAACTATGCACTATGTTGTTATTATTTATAAATCATGCTTCAGAAAGAGATTGTGCATGTATGCCTCATGGGTATGTATCAACATTCACTTTATTCTGGATAATAGTATCTCAGACAACTCTTTCCTGTTCCAGCAACAGCTCATCTGCTATAAACTCTACTTCCGCTTATACATGTATATGTAGGGGGAAAGGCAAACATAAAGTGTATATCTTAACAGTGAATGTTTTTAAACGTTTGCAGTAACATGTGAAGGCTGTAGCCAATCACAAAGGAAGGGTGACAATTGTTCATGCATCTGTTGAATGTCCAAAGTGCAGACCTACACTAGGCTATGTGTAGTCCATAATTTCAGACATTCTCCAGATGCAAATGGGATCATAGACAGTTTCTGCTGTTTGGACATTTATCTGTAACAGATATATAATACTTCATTTCTGGGTGATAGCATAATGTTCCACAATCTATAAGAAGGGTCCTGGCATTGAGAAGGTTGTTTTGGCTGTTTACCTATACTTTTATGCCTTACAGCCAGGGTTGTGCCAATAGCCATGTCTGCCAAGGAAATTTACCTAATGGGATTTGGTTAGCAGGCCTTGTTCATTTGACTTTTGGAAGCACATCACTGAAAACATAACCACCACCAAAACCAAAAATCTTTAAAGACATTAGAAGCAAGAAACCAGCTTGGGAGGTGGTGGAGTGGTGAACTTCATTAGTGGTTTTTAAACAGAGGTTGAATGACCACCTGCCAGGGATTCTTCAGTTGTGATTCCTGCATTGCAAGGGGTTGTATCCTTGAGGGTCTCTTCTAACCGTAATTCTATGATACTTTCCAGCTTTGTGCTCTACTGCAATTGGACTTGGTCACATTGGGCTCAGATGCAAACTTAACACTATCAGATTCCTGCCATTTCAGTGTGCTGGATGTTGTGGTAATTTTTTGTGCCATTTCAGATTAAACTCATATTGACACCTACAAAATGGTAGGCCTATTTCTAGAAGTAAGCACACATTCAATAGAAATTTCCCCCCATCTAGCTGTGGCCGAGTCATTCTTTTTTATTTTTGGTAAGGAAATAACGTTTGCTTGTAATCATGCTTAATAGCGACATTCAGATGAACTTCCTCCTGCACTGTGTCTCACATCCACTTGCATAGACATAGTAACTGAAAGGAAAGAAGAGGAAGAAGTATCTGACCACACTGAGAAGTTTCATGCTCACAGAGAGACAGCCAGGAGCCAAGCAGAGCTCATTACAGGATCTTGCATTTGACTAGAAGTAACTCAAAGTGGGTCCAAATTATGCAGTGCTGTCAGCTGTGGCTTGTGAAAAAAATTCCCCATGGTTGGTTTAGAGCTGTAAAAACGAGGCTGTATCTCAAGATGCTGAAAATATTGAGGATTTTATTTTCAAAGCAATCCCTCACATTTCAGCCAATTATTATTTACAGGTATTCTGCAGGGTGCTTTCCAACTTTTGCATTTTTTGCATTTTTGTGTACAGCACAAAAACAGAACTGAGGAGAGCCCAAGCAACATTAGAGAGGGATTTTGTGAGATTATCTCACTTTGGGGCTGTGACATCTGCTAGTTCCTTGCCTGCCATTTGGACTCCCTGGGGTCAAAACACAAAGACCTACTACTGGAAAGCAAACT